GTGCAGACTGAACTCCCTGTGACTCAGGAAGCGGCACCCAGAGGGGTCAACTCCTGGGCAAACCACTCCCAGCCCACGGCCCCAGGGCTGCGGCCCAGTCTGCAGGCCTCGGAGGAGGCCACCGGGGCAGGCAGGGCCCAGCTCCGGCTCCTGCTTCCCCCTGCGAAGGGGGACGGCCCTGCCCAGTGCCTACGTGAAGCCTGGGGGGCCAGAGGGGGAGTTGGGAACCACGTGTGACCTGTGCCTGCCTGCCTGCCTGCCTGCCTCCTGGAGAATGACCAGGAGACCCCACATTCTTGGAAGCCACTGTGGAGCAAAAGCTGGCTGACCCATCTGTGCTCACTGACTTGCAAGAACCAGGGAGCCTGCTGTGTGTGCAGAACCTCAGATCTTCCCGGTGGCCCGTGGCTCCCAGCTTCCTTCGAACCTAGGAGCCAGGCCCAGCACCAAAGGGCAGGAGAGCACCTTTCAGCTCAGGGCTTCCCCAAACGGTCTCTCTTTCTCCAACACCCTATTACCAAGCCGGTCCTGGGGTCTGAGGGATCCAGGGGCTCTGCCCAGCCCGAGAAAAGATAAGCACTCCCCGTGAGGGCAGAGGGCACTGGGTGGGGCTGGTGCCAGGGAGTGTCACACAGCCTATTCTCTGACCCTGGGCTTATGGACACACAACCCCCCCCTCCCCGCCTTGCCCACCTCCGCATACTCCCCCGGAGGGAGGTAGCTGAGCGGGGCGGATTCTCCACCACATGGAACATGGGCTGAGCCGGCAGCCCCTCCCGGAGTCCTCCCTGCCTGGGCGAAGGAGGAGCACGGTGCCCCCCACCCCAGCTGGGAAGGTCCGGGACACGTGCGGGGCGCCCGTCCCCGGCGGAGGGGCGCGGGCGCCGGGCAGCCCCCGCCTCCCGGCCGCCGCGGCTGGAACAAAGAGGCGCCGCGAACTCGCCGGGAGGCGGGCCGGCCGCGCCCCCTCCCCACGCCGGGCGGGCGGCGGGCGTGCCGGCCGCGGGCCCCCGCCGCTCCCTCCGCCGGCGGCTCACCTGGCCGGCGCGGAGCTCCCCCTCCAGCTCGCGGTGGCGGTTGTGCCACACCAGGTAGTGCAGCGGGTACCTGCCCTCCGGCCCCTTCCCGGCGGCGGCGGCGGCGGGGAGCATCGCCCGCTCCTCATGCCGGGGCCGCGGCGCCCGGCCCGGGAGGAGGGACGGCGCCGGGGCCGGGGCGCGGGGCCGCGGGGCGCGGGGCCGGCGCTGCCTGCGGGCGAGGCTGCGGCGCGGGCATGTGCGAGCGGCGCCGGCGGGTGGAGGCGGGCGGCGCGGAGAGGCCCCCCCGTCCGGGGAGGAGGAGGGGGAGGGAGAGGGAGAGGGAGCGGCTCTGGCGGCGCGGACTCGCGCCCTGTCTCCCGCACCCCCGCACACAAAGACGCCGCTTGGCGAGGGGAGCGGGCGCGGGGGCGCACAGGGCGCCGGGCCCCGGGGACGCCGCCGCCGCCGGGACGCGCGCCCACAGCCCCCGGCCTCCCGCAGCCGCATAGCCCGGCCCTCTGCCGGAGCGGCTGCGAGGGATGCGGGGATGCGGGGGAGAAGGGAGGGGGAGCTGGGTGCTCCAGACAGGGCTGGTTATAGCGCGGCCCCGCAGCATGCTGGGGCTTGTAGTCCGCCTTGTGGAACTGGGGGTGGCGAGTGTCCGGGGAGTGCCCCGCACTCTCTCCCCCTCATCCCGTAAAAGCGCGGGGAAGGAGGCAGGCCTGGCCGAAACGCAGGCAGCGTCCTGACGCCAGGTTGCGCCCCAGCCGCTGGCATTTTGTCTTTTGATGGGGAGAGAAAGGGATACAGGCCTCGCTTCAGCATTGGGAGGTGTGGGAAGGTGTGGCCTTCAGGATTGAGTTTGGATCCCAGTGGAAGGTGAAAAAGGATCCAGATCCTCTGAAGAGTGACTGGTTGGGACTCCGGAAAAGGTAAGGGACTTTGGTACCAATGATCATTGGAGCAATCAGGGGTCTGACGCCTGCATTATTATATAGGAGTCTTCCCTGCCCTTTTATAAAATTAAACTCCATGTTCCACATTTGACATTGGAAAGAGAATGTCCAGTCAGGCTGCGAGGACAGCCCCCCCCCCCTTCCCCATACGCCGTCCTCTGCAAGGACCAGAGTGGGGCTGGGCAGAGAGAGCAGCAGGTGGCAGCTCCCCACCTCCACCCCTCCTGTGTGTCCCCTCAGGAGAGAAAGTGGCTGATTCCAGAGCCGGTCACCTTCCTAAATAACCCCAGGGCAGGGCGGTCCTGCCAGAAGGGTCCTGCAGGTGCTGGGGTAGACGTGAATTTGGCCTCTGTGGGGAGAACCTAGAGGCTTGGTCCAGTCCTTGGAGGGCAGAGGGACTGGGATGTTAGAGACTCGAGTTAGAATTCCTCCTTACCAACTGCCTGACCTTAAGCAACCTGCTTAGATAGTCTGGTTTCTCAAACCACTCCTCTCTAACATAAGACCGGAAACTACCTCCTGGGGTGACTTAAAGAGGGGGTCTGCCAGCGGAGCATCCCTCTCCCAGCCAGGCGGAACTGAGACAGGTGTGGCAGGGACCAGGCACAATGCCTTGGGGAGGCCACCTTAGAACCAGATGGGAAGAAGGAATTCCACACCAGCCCTACTTAGAACACTCCAGGAAGTGTTCCTGTGGGAGGGTGCTAGCGAAAGCTTGCAAACTCTCCGCACCTCGCTCAGGTTACTCTGTGGTCTTCTCCCCTCCCTCCTCCACACCCTGCGGTGCCAGGCCCGGGGGGGGGGGGGGGGGGGGGGGCGGGGCAGGATGAGGGAAGAGCAGGCGGCCTCGCCCCTTTCTCCAGCCTGGGAGCAGCCAGCAGCCGCTGGTGTCTCTGGCTGCCGGGGACCACTGCCCAACTCTGCCACGAGGGGGCAGCAGAGCGTCGTGGCTGCAGCCTGAGTTGAGGAGGGGGCTGGAGGGGGAGGGGGGTACCGCTAGGAGTGGCCGGGAGAATGCCTGTACGTTTTCCTTATTAAATTATTTTTGGAACCTTGTGTGTGATTTCTCTTTAACTGTTCTTTTTCCTGAGGTGACGACATCTCCAGAAGAAAATCCTGAACTCTTTATCCCTAGCCCCAGGCCCAGGGCTGTGGCGGGGTCCCGGCGGTGGGAGGCTTCCGGAACAAAGTTTGCAGAGTGGGTCTGCGCCTGGGCCCCTCCCAGGTAGTCCTGGGGCAACCTGCTGAATCGTAAATTTCCCCCTGAAAAATCTTCGAAGAGAGCTCAGCCTGGGTTGGGGGGTCGGGGGCGTGGGGGCACTATCCCCCAGGCATCCGACTCTCTCTTTGCAAAGGCAGCCATACACAGACACTAAGCCCAAGTCGCTTTTCCTCCAACCTGCGAGCTCCGGCTGGGCTGCCACGTGCTCGAGACTCGCCCACAGAGCAAAGAAACAAAGACAGCCAACCGACAGAGCTGCCAGCAGCCGCCTCGGCATTTAATACATGAAATTCCACAGCTGGGGGGGCGGTCTGTTGGAGGGACAGACGGCCGTTGGTGGTGGGCTGTGTGCCGGTTTGGGCGGCCAGGCTGCTGCTTCCATTGGGCTGGGGTCACCGAGCCCATGGACTAGCTTCTGGGTGAGGGTGCGGCCCTGGATGGCAGGTGGTGGGTGCTCCATCCCCCACCTCTAACCCTCGAGGTATATATCCTTGCTTACAGAAACCCCGCCAGCCAGCCGCTGGCTGTGGGGGGGAAGGAGGCCTGCAAGGATTTTTTTTTAAAGGTGTGATTATAAAAATATCCCCGCGGATCGCTATTTCAAACAAACTTGTCAATCTGCGGCTGCAGCAAAAAGGCGATGGAGGCAGCTTTGCGTATATTTCGGGCCGTGTGACTCATGAGCATTACTTTGTCTCCCCCCGGGAAGCAGACTGTCCACCCACAAGTCACTGCTGCTCTGGCGCCGCTGGGATAAAATGGCTCAACTCTGTATCCCGCGCTGGGACTCTCCCCACCCCTCACCCCTCACCCTGGTTCCCTGCCGCTTGGGAACTCTCCCTTAATCGCGTCACTACTGACCTGACCCCCAGGCCTGGTCTTGGGCACCCTGGACCCCTCCCCACAAGCAAGATGCTCTGGCCTTTTGCTGCTGCAGGGATGGGGGCTGGTGCAAGGGAGGCACACGTGTTTGAGGGAGCATGCTCAGTGCACCGGTTCACCCACGTGCAGTCTGACCTTTGCTCCCTACCCCCCCCCATCCCACCCCGAAACCCTTCGCCTCCCCCCCATGTCTCCGTGTGAATTCCAGGAAGAAAGGCTGCCACAAAACTAAGTCCCTGTATGTTATATGGACATACCTCTGGTGGCCCAGAACCATTGTGGGTGCATACAAGTCGGATGACAAGCAGGTATTCCTGCACACCGGCGCAGTGGTCACCCATCAGAGGGCCTTTTAAAACCGCCCAGATTCTTTACTTTTTAGAGGCAAGCCCTGAGGAAGGCCAGATGCAGTCTTAGCCCGAAGGGTAGGGCGGACAGACCTCTTTGGCACCTGAGCGTCCATGTTGTTGGCGGGGTGCATAGTCAGCAAGTGTGACCACACACACACACACACACACCTGGACACACACATGTGGACACCTGGGAGTCCAGGTCGCACACCTCACCCCAACCAGCGAGAAGCGGGTACCCCAAGCCACGGCCCCTCACAGGAAGGAGAGCCTAGGCCTCCAGCTCCTTGATCGGGTCTCTGATTCCCAGGGGCCACTGTCCCAGGGCCCGAACTCCAGGCCAACCCCCCTCTGGAAAGCGAAGGGGATGGGCTGACGTCACACCGCCCTCGGGCCAGAGACTCGCAGGAGAAGGTGGGGCCTCGGCCGCGGGCGGGGCCGCCTGCTCCAGCGCGGCGGGGTGTGCGGCCCCTTTAAGCGCCCCCGCCCCTCCCCGCCCGCGCTCCCGGCTTCCTTCCTCCGGGAGGCGGGGCCGCCCCTCCCCGGTGGGCGGGGCCTACGCCGCTTCCTGCAGGAGCGGCCGTAGCCGCGCGAGGGGCGGGGAGAGCGAGCGGCGAGCGGCGGCGGGGCGGCGGCGGGGCGGAGGGCGCCCGAGGGCGAGCGGGCAGGCGGGCGGGCACGGCGGGTTCCGGGCCGGCCCAGGGGCGGTCGGTTGGCCGGGCGCGCGGAGCCTCGCCGGGGCCTCGCCGGAGCCGGGACGGGCAGCAGGGCCGCCGCCGCCGCCGCCCGGGGCCGCCGCCCGCGCCCCCCACGCTGGCCCAGCGGGCCGCGGCCGCGCCGCCGCGGAGGATGTCCCGGAAGGGGCCGCGCGCGGAGGTGTGTGCGGACTGCAGCGCCCCCGGTAAGCAGGCCGCGGGGGCGGCACCGGGACCGCGCGCCCCGGCCGCCGGGAGGGCGGGCGCCTGGGCCTGGCGGGAGCGCCGTGCGGGCCGGCGGGCGGGGTGGGGCTGGGGGCTGCGGCCTCGGCCCCCGCCAGGGCCGCTGCGGAGCCCGGTCCTCGTCTGGAGCGCCGGCCGGGGGGCCCCTGCGGCCTGGTGCCCGCGGACGAGCCGGGAAGGACGTTCTCGGCGCCGCCTCCCACCCCTCAGGCCGAGGGAGGCGGGCAACCGGCCGCCCCCCGCCTCCATCCCCGTACCCGAACGGAAGCGCCGGCCCGGGGTGGCCGAGGGCCGAGGCGGAGGCCGGCCAGGTGCAGGGGGTGGGGGCGAGTGTGGTTTTGCGCCGTCTCCGGGCCGCCCACCCCCGCGTCTTGCACCTGCTGCTCGCACGGTCTGCCGGCCGGCCTGCCTGCCGGGGTGGCGGAGGGCAAGGGGCCGGGAGCCGGGCAGATGGGCCGGGGGGAGGGGGAGGCTTGGATACTGTTTCCTCGGGAGCAGAGGAGGGGTGGCTCCTCCTGGAGCTCCCGGGCCCTGGCTCCCCGGGCTGGGGCTCCTCGCAGGCAGGCCTGGTGCACCGGGCCCGTGTGAGCCTGAGCATCTTCCTGAGGCGGCCCCCGGCCACCTGGTGCCTGGGACCACCTGGACCCGGCTTTTCTTGTGCCTCAGTCGGGCCCACTTGGGGAAAGTGAGCTTGGCATCGCCCCAATGTGGGCAGATACCTCTCCTGGTGCCCTAGCCCAGCCTGACCAGGAATGGGTAGCGAGCAGGGTTAAGGGTTCTAGATTCCCCAGGAGCCCGCTGGTCCCTGGCCGGCCTCTTGGCTGCGTTTACCGTGGTGTTTCCCTTCTTCCCAGCAGTCAGCTCCAGGCTGATGCCAACCCCTGACCTGCTGAGGAAGTGAGAAGCAGTGATCCCCCCCACTGCTCCCTTCTGATGTGGGAGGACACTGCCAGTGATGGGCTGGGCAGCTGGGGGGGCGGGGGGAGCCCAGGCCTGGCCCGTTCTCTTTAGAAAAGGAACTGTCTCCCTCAGCAGGCTCAGGGGTCTGAACTCCAGAGGGACTGGGGACAGACGAGATGTGAGAGTGTGGGGTGCTGTTTTGTGGGCCCATAACTCCCAGACATTCCTTGGGCGGCCCCAGGACCCCAACAGGTTGAGGTTCACAGATGCTCTGGTGGCTCCAGCCTGGAGGGATCTGGATGCTGGCACAGGCCTGGCGCTCTGTGGTTGGTCATGACCCTGAGGCCTCCTCTCGGCATGCCACGGTCTAGCAGGCTCCCCAAGAAGCTGTCTGGGGTTGTGTGTGCTTACCTTTGGTTAGCTGGCAACGGTGACCCACTGGCCCCCGCCCGGGGAGAGGGGGGTGGGGGGGAGGGAGAGTTTGCCTTCTCGGTGTCTGTCCCAGGCGGTTGTGGTGCTCTGCTGGGGGGTTGGGGGGGGGGGCAGCTTGGGTTTTAGCCTTTGTATCCAGCTTACTCTGTGACAGCCAAGAGGCCGGCCAGGGACCAGCGGGCTCCTGGGGAATCTAGAATCCTCAACATTGCTCCCTGCCCATTTCTGGTCAGGGCTAGGGCACCAGGAGGGGTATCTGCCCACATTGGGGCGATGCCAAGCTCACTTCCCCATGGCAAGACCTTCCCCGCTCTGTCCCGTTTCCTCACCTGCAAGGCAGGGAAGTCGGAGTAGAAATGGTTTTGGGCGAGTGTCCCGTCGCCACATCTGTGGTCCTGATTCCGGGTTTGAGGAATGGAGAGCAGCATCAGCACGGCCGCTGTCTTTCCATTCCATTCGCCTGTTGGGCTGTGGTCTCTGGGTGCCCATTGGGCTCGGGGGCAGAGTGGTGTGTATCTGAGGTGTTTGTACTGCCACCTCTTACCCCTGGCCCTTGTCCCTCAGAGGCATTGTGCCCCGGGGCCGTGTTCCCCTTGATCGGGTCAGGAAGAGGCAAATGGTGAGAAGGTGAGGGTGATGAGGTGGGCCGGGTGATGACAGTCTTGCCACCCCAGCACCTAGCGAGGTGTCTGGCACAGAGCAGGCACTGCCCGAGGGTGTGGATGCTTGTCTGGACCCTGCTGCCTGCTGGGTCTGCTCCAGACCCCGCTGTGTGCTGTGTGAATGGTGTTCTCTGTCTGGGAACTACTCGCAGCCCAAGAGAAAGGCTTGAGAGTAGGCAGCTGCCTGGAGCTCAGACCCAGAGCCACCCTGTGTGTGCCTCCTACCCAGGCATAGGCTTCCCTCGCTGTGGCAGGAACCCTGCAGTCCCAGCCCTAGGAGGGGGGGAGGCGATGGAGGTAAAAGGTGAGTGGAGCCTGACCCCAAAGGCCCCTCCTCATCCTCCCTCTGCTCCCAGGCGTGGGCATGAGGGGATAGTGTGAGTCTGTTGTGAGGCAGCTGGGCATGGCCTGCCTGCTCTGGCTGCTGGTCAGGCACCATCTGTGCCCCTGCCTGCCTTGGGAGTCCAAGAGAGGGGCTGGGGTCAGGGAAGCTGCAGAGTATGTGTGTTTCCCCATCCTCCCCCTGCACACAGCTCTGGCCCTGCTCTCAGGTCTTGTTCCTCACCCTACGGGCCTCCATGCAGCCTCTGGCACCTTGGAGGAACAGGGCTGGCCACCTGCGAGGGCCATTTGGGAACCTGCAGGCCCGCATGTCTCCTCATAGTTATTGTGGGATGGGGTGAGTGGTGGGCTCTCTTCCTCTTTTATTGAGATACTAGAAGCTGGGTGCATGAATTCGTGCACGGGTGGGGTCCAGCTGGCCCACCCCGATCAGAGTGGGAAGGGTATTTGGGGTTTTGGACAGTTGGCCGGACAGCCCACCCTGGGCAAACTCCCAGGGGACAACTTGCATATTAGCCTTTTATTATATAGGGTGACTTATGAATGGCAAACGGCACGCACCTTTCTGTTTGGCTGATGAGTTTGTGCGTGTGGGTATAGCTGTAGCCGTCACCCCAACCCAGAGAAGAGCATTCCCATCGCGCTGCAGGGTTTTCTTTTTTCTTTTTAATATATATATTTTTATTTTTTAAAATATATTTTATTGATTTTTTACAGAGAGAAAGGGAGAGGGATAGAGAGCTAGAAACATCGATGAGGGAGAATCATCAACCAGCTGCCTCCTGCACAACCTCCACTGGGGATGTGCCCGCAACCAAGGTACATGCCCTTGACTCGAATCGAACCTGAGATCTTTCAGTCCGCAGGCCAACGCTTTATCCACTGAGCCAAACCGGTTTCGGCTGCAGGGTTTTCTTGTGCCCTCGCCCAGCAGCCAGTGTCCCCCCAAAGGTAACTGCCGTTCTGGCCTCCATTTCTGTAATGACTCTCGGCTGCTTTCAGCATGGCGGCTTCTCTCTCTTCCTAGTGCGGATCCGGTCCCTCGCTCAGGAGAGGCTAGCCCTGATAGCAGACCTCCTGGCCCCAGTGGGGTTGGCATTGGTTAATGTTACTTCAGGACCCCTCCTGCCACTTGCCCACACTTATCAGACCCACCCTGACGGAGGCAGGCGTCCAGGACGAGGATTGGCAGATACCAGCTTGGTCACCGCGTCCCGTGGGCTTTGCGTTCCCTGTCTCTCTTCTGCCCCAAGTTTGTCCAGGAGCCTCTTTGGGACAAGACTCCCTCCTTTAACTTTAAACTTCAATAGCCATTGCCTTTCAGGAACCCTTCCTGGCCCTTCTGCTTAGCAATTTGCTTAGCAATGGCCTAGGTGAGGCCCGGGGGTTCTTGCTTGGGTACGTCCCATGTCCCTGGGCATAAAGAACAGGGAGTGGGGTGAGGGTGGGCTTTCTCGTCTGTCAATCAGAACTGAACTGGCACCAGTGTGCCCCAGACCAGGACAGCGTCCCCTGCCCACATTTCCTATTTCAGGTCACTGGGCCTGGGGAAGAGAGGGGGACCCCTCCCCCAGCCTAGGAGAGTGGCAAGCCGAGTCCTGGGCCCCGTCCCCAGATCCCAGTGTGGTCACTGCGCATTCAGGGACTTGCCGTGTCTGTTCTGGCCGGTCCTCCAGGCCGGGCTTCTCCGGTAGGGCGGTCCATTCGTGATCCTGGCCTGGGCGGCTCCCCACTTACAGGAAACCCCACCATTTCAACAAGAGGAATTCGGGCTGCGTCATTTCCAGCTTCCTGCCTGGGCAGCGGCGATGGCCGGAGGGCGGCCCCCTGGCCCAGTGGCGTTGGGAGTGGGGGAGGGGCGTGTCACCTGGAGCCGCTCCTGCTCGGTGAAGCCAACACTAACGCGCTGTGGTTCCTTCCTCTTGGGCCCCTGGGATGAGCTCCCCAGGAAGGGGCAGTGTGCGCCCTGTGTTTTCCTGTGCCCGTTGTGGGGAGGTGGGGTCCCTGACCAGAAAGCTGAGTCCCTCTGTCCCTCCTGTTCCCGGGCAGTGAGGGGCTGCTGGCTCACCCTGACTCAGTCTCCTCCGTTCTCCGGGGCTCGGAGGGAAGTCCTTTCAGGGTAGGGTCTGAGAACCACCTTCTGGTGGAGAGGCACCACGGGGCAAGGCGGGGAGCCAGCACCCCTCCCGGACAGGGCTTCCTGACAGGGTGGGGGCCGGGCAGAGCACAGTGTCCTGGGAGACAGGCTCCCCGCCCCCACTCTCAGAGGCACACAATGGCCGCTTTCTCCCCCGTGACCTTTCCACAGCCTGAGCCGTACACAGCGGCCCCCTCCTCCTCCCCCGGGGGGCCTGGGAGGGAGCTCCCACCCACCCTGGGTTTCCAAAGTTCACTCTCCAGGAGTGGAGAGGTTCCCAGGCCCCCTGTCCCCGGGGGCTGTCCCCTTCCGGGCAGAGCACAGGGCCCAGCGGTTCTGGGCACGGCGCGGTCTCCGGCACCTGAGTGCCCGGTGCGCGTCCCGGCAGCCACTCCCTCGTGTGTGACCTTGTGCACGCGCACTGAGCTCACTGGTCAGGCGGGTAGCCGTCCCCACCTTGCCTGGCAGTTGGGAGAGGCATGCATGCAGCGCCCAGTGGGGCACAGTGGGTGCTCAGTCAGCGGTAGTTCCTCTGCACTCCCATCCGCCTTAGGAGGGATTCCATCAGTGATGGCGACAGGAGCCTCGGCAGGGTAAGGGCAGAGTCGGGTGTTCCTGGGGATTGTGATGGGTCCGCAGGTGGGCCACTGGGCGAGGAGAGGTGTGGCACTGACCCAGACGCAGGAGGAGCGCCTAGGGATGAGTGGTGCGGACACATCGGGGTTCCGTCCCCTCGGGGATCCCTGCTTCCCTGGGGAAGGCTGTGGGAATGATAGTGGCAACTGCAGGACGGGAAGCCATGCCCGCTGAGTAGGCCCTGGGGACCACACCTTCCCAGAGAGCCAGATACGTGTAGGAAAGGGCTCGGCTGTGTCTGTCGCCCGCTGAGAGCCGTGTGGAAATCCCTCTCGCTGCCTCAGCTCAGCTTCCTCATCCGTCGCCGGTGCCTCCTGATGCCCCAGTTTCCAGGCTCTGAGGGCCCAGGGGAGTGAATATGTGCGGGCACTAAGCATAGTGCCGGCCCGGAGCAGGTGCGCAGGGGGTCTTGCCTGCACTGGCTGTGGCTGACCCTGGCTTCCCCTCCCCGGCAGACCCCGGCTGGGCCTCCATCAGCAGGGGGGTGCTGGTGTGTGACGAGTGCTGCAGCGTGCACCGGAGCCTGGGACGCCACATCTCCATCGTCAAGCACCTTCGCCACAGCGCCTGGCCCCCCACGCTGCTGCAGGTACGGGGCTGGCCCGCCCTCCGCCGCCCCACAGGGTGCTCACCGCAGGCACGTCTCCCTCAGACAACACACACACCCGCCTGCACTCAGTAGCTCCTGGGGGCAGCACCTGCCTGGGGAGCACCCTAATCCAAACCCTAATCCAGACCCATCCACTCACCCGAGAGGAGGCATCCAGGCCTGGGGTCAGGCAGATCTGGGCGCTCATCTCTGCTCTGCCTCTTACTAGCTGGGCCGTGTAGCACTGAGCAGGTCGCTTAACCTCTCTCAGCCTTGGCATGCTGGTCATGTGACCTGGGGTTCTAACCAGGACCCACATCCTCGGGTGGCCTGACGGGATAGAGATGCAACAGGGAACAGGCACCCAGTAGGCGCTTTGGTGCTTTTGCAGCCACAGTGGCTGTGGCCGGTGCCCAGTGTCCGGCACCCAGTGGGCTCTCACTTGGCATCTCCTCCCCGCAGATGGTGCACACGCTCGCCAGCAACGGGGCCAACTCCATCTGGGAGCACTCCCTGCTGGACCCCGCACAGGTGCAGAGCGGCCGACGCAAAGCCAACCCCCAGGACAAAGTCCAGTGAGTCGGGCTGGAGGGGCGGTGGCAGGGGCCCGGGAGGTGGCCAGGTGACTCCTCTCTCGCTCTGCTCCCCATTTCTTCCTCTGTGCCCCGTGCAGCCCCATCAAGTCCGAGTTCATCAGGGCCAAGTACCAGATGCTGGCATTTGTGCACAAGCTTCCCTGCCGGGATGACGACGGGGTCACCGCCAAAGACCTCAGCAAGGTGTGAGGGGCCCCACGCCGGAGGGCGGGCCTCTCCCCACCCCAACGCCCTGCAGGCTCCTCCTCAGGCACCGCTCAGCCCCAGGCCCCAGAGGCAGCAGGTCAGGCAGGAACCGCGGGCTGTGGAGCAACCAACGTGCTTGGTTAGGCTGCCTGTGGTCAAAGCCCCTCGACTCCCGGGAGGACACACAGGCTGACATCCCCCAACTGCCACCCAAAAGCCAGGAAAACTCTGGGTCGTTCCTAAGCCTCTCAGAGCCTCCGTTTTCTCATCTATGAAATGGGAAGAACAGCACCATCTCCTATATACTGTCTGTTCCAAGCAGAGCACACAGCACGGGGCAGAGTGACTGACAGCAGCTGCTATTGGTGGGCGTTAACGCCCAGCGCGAAGCCCTCTGTCCTCCAGACACCCGCACTCAGCTGGGCTCCGGGAGCTGCGGCGGGCGGCCCAGGTGCTCCCGGTCCCTGTGCAGCCTGAGGGAGGAGGGCTCACACGTGTGTTGCTCCCGCTCCTTGCAGCAACTGCATTCAAGCGTGCGGACAGGCAACTTGGAGACGTGTCTGCGCCTGCTGTCCCTGGGTGCCCAGGCCAACTTCTTCCACCCGGAGAAGGGCACCACGCCTCTGCACGTGGCTGCCAAGGCCGGGCAGACGCTGCAGGCCGAGCTGCTTGTCGTGTACGGGGCCGATCCCGGCTCTCCCGACGTCAACGGCCGGACGCCCATCGACTATGCCAGGTGAGGGTTGGCTGAAGGGTGGGCACGGGTGGGTGGGCCAGTGGGCTGCTGCTGCAGGCTGAGCCAGGCGCCCTCCCACAGGCAGGCGGGGCACCATGAGCTGGCAGAGAGGCTAGTCGAGTGCCAGTATGAGCTCACTGACCGGTTGGCCTTCTACCTCTGCGGACGAAAGCCTGGTGAGCAGAGTGCGGGGCGGGCCTGGCGGGGCCAGGCAGGTGGGACCCAGACACACCTCAGCAGCAGGTGCCATGGTGACACAGCCGGCTGGGGAACAGCGTTGCTAGGCAACTGGCTCCTGTGAAATTGCTGCAGGCTCTGGGCTGCAGCACATTGGGGCAGGGAGTGGGGGTGGCATAACTTCTAGCCAGCTCCCAGTCTTTCCCCTGATACCTCTGGGTGCCTGTCCCTGCTCCTGGCAGTGAGGTGGGCGTCCAGCTACTCAGGCCACTCGGCACCAGTGACTTGGCATTTTTATTTTTGTTCAGATCACAAGAATGGGCATTATATCATCCCACAGATGGCCGACAGGTAAGTGCCCACCTGGTGTCCTGTCCCAGAGGCTGTTACAGGCCATGGTGGTGCCTGACCCCCACATTCCCCACCCCACTCCTCCAGGGGCTGGAAGCACAAACATTTCATAGTCTGGTCCTTACTCCCTAATTCTGGGCCCCCGGGCAGATAAGTGTCAACTTAGCACATGGCCAGCATAGCCTGAGCTCCTTCTGTCAGAGGCACAGTACAGGCAGCACCCCAAGAGCAGTGGGTCACCGGGTTCTATTCCCACTGACACTGGCCCCACTGAAATCTTAGGTAAATCTCTGCTCCTCACTGAAAAGCAGGTGGGCTCCAGGGATCTGAGTAACTGGCCAGCCCGTGTGGTGTGTTCATAAACTGGGCAGAGGCTGGAGGGCAAGGCATGGCACAATCCAGGTGTCTCTGCCTCTGATCTGAGAGGCCCCAGGTGCCAGGCTGGGAGGTACCACCTCCAATCCTTACCCAGCTTACAAGATGGGTGCTGGCGCCACCTGGTGGCTGCCTCTGGTGGCCATTGCTATGCCCCGCTGTGCCTGCTGGCGTGGGTCTGGAGAGGCTGCCTCCTCCAGAGGGCAGTGTGGGCAGACGGGGCCTGTCAGGTCTGGGCACCCTGGATTCCTGAGCGCAGACCTCCTCTGTTCTGAAATCCCGAGACTCCCCCTACGTCTTTGGTCTGACTCTGCCTGGTGTGCGTGCCTGCGTGGCAGGGGGTGTTGTAAACACATGGGCACAGACTCAGTGAAATGTTAACCGAGCACCTTCGCGGCGCCAGCTGCTGTTCTTGGCACTGAGACACAGGTGGCTCCGACAGCATCCCTGCCTTTGAGGAGCTCACAGTCGAGAAAGGGAGGCAGCCCAGTCAGACAGTTGTAGTTCAGTGTGGGACGTGCAGCAGGAGAGAGAGAGGCACAGACGCTAGGAACGCTGTGCCAGGAACTGCAAGCAGATGGGGAGCCTGCAGCATACGTGAGAGGCGGGATCCCAGGAGCAGGACTGGAGGAGAGACAGAGTGGCCAGTCCTGTGAGTCCTGAGAAAGGCTGTGACCCTCCTGAGCGGGAGAGGTCCCAGCATGGGGGTGTGCCGAGCCAGCCCTGCTGCTTTCCTGGCTGTGGGGCCTCAGGCAGGCTGCTGACCCTCTCAGAGCCTCGGTTATCTCACCTGGAAATGAGGGCAGCTGGACCTGTCTTTGTGGGCTGTTGAGAGGATTAAATAAGATAATGCATGCAAAGCAGTTAGCATATTTTTTAAATGAGCTTTTTGTTATTATTGAGGTGTTTTTAAGACCAGGAATAGTGCCACCGGGTGTGTCAAAAGGATCGCCGTGGTGCTAGGTAGGAAAGTTTTGTAGGAGCGAGAGTGGGAGGGGGAGGTGGATTAGTAAACTGCGGCCAAAGCCCAGGGGGAGGCAATGATGGCGGAGGCGGGAGGCTGAGGGGGGTTTCAGGTTCTCCCAGGAGCTGATGTGCCGGGAGATGGGTCTCCGAGAGGAGGGGCGAGCCAGTCAGGAGCAGGCTGGGGGAGAGGAGTCCGTTTTGTGCGTTCTGACTGGCGTGTGCACAGAGATGAGTGAGCTTGATGTGGGAAGGTGTGTGCTCCCTTCTGTTGGGTAATTGCTGCCTCTGTCCTGTTCTTCCCTCTGCTGCCTTCCTCTGGACTTAGATCCCGGCAAAAGTGCATGTCTCAGAGGTATCTGTGTCTGCACGGGAGCAGGCTCTGGTTGGGTGGGGCGAGGTGGCTCTGGTTGTGTGGCATCTGGGGTCTTGTCTCCCTGGGCTCTCTGCATGTTTGGAGGGTCATTGGCAAAGGTCTGGCCACGTCTTATGGCTGGTCTCTCCCTTCCTCCCCCTTCTTGGCTCCCTCCTTGTCCTTAGCCTGGACCTGTCTGAGTTGGCCAAAGCTGCCAAGAAGAAGCTGCAGGCGGTGAGTCTGCTGCCATTCCTAACCCCCACTCCCCCCATCCCCCCCGCCCCTCTGATCGCTCCCCTTCCTCTGACCCGGTGTCCTTTTCCAAGTCTTTGAGCTGCTCTCACTCCAGCCTCCCGTCTCCTCTTTGCTGCTTCCCCACCCCTTGTCTTGACCCTGGCTCTGCCTGCAAAGGCTCCCAGGGCCCTGGCCCACTTCCGTCCTAACTGGCATTAGCTGGCCCAGTCTGGCTCCCTTTTGCCCTCTCCCACCTTGGAGCCTTGCAGACAGACCCGCAACCCCCGTTTTCAGTTCTGAGACTGTGGGGCTGGGTGGCATAAGGGACACCTGGTGAGCTGGCCCTGTCGGCTCTCGGGGCCAGAGGATCTGACCAAGCCCGTGACCCCCCTCTGTGCCTCCAGCTCAGCAACCGGCTTTTTGAGGAACTCGCCATGGACGTGTACGATGAGGTGGATCGAAGAGAAAATGACGCTGGTGAGCTGGGAGGGCATTGGGGTCTCGGGGCAGGTGGGACCGAGGAGCCACCCACTAGGAAAGGCGAGGGCCTGGGGTGGCTCTCGGGTACGTTGATGGAAACTGAGAAGGGGTGCCTGGGGTTGGTCTGCTCGGCGGGCCTGTGTACAAGCCTCTGCCAGCTGTGAGCTGGCCTGGGCAGCGGCCCCAGCCGGGCAGAGTGCTGAGCTGGAGGCTCCTCCTACCCCCCTCCCGCTGGGCTCATCTCTGCTCTAGCTGCCTCCCACTTTGGCTCTCTCCCCAGTCCTGCCCCCTTAATCACTCCTTCCTAGCCACAGCCAGATTCCAGCCCAAACTCGGCTGGGCCTGGCGAGAGGGAGTGGCCGGCTCTGTCCGTCTGCCGCTGGCCTTGCCCAGTGCCTGGCGGGAGACCACCCCCGTTTTGATCACGGAGCTCCGTGGGCCTGAGGAGGAGCTAGGAAAGCTGTGCTCAGCGCTCCCCCCCCCCCACCCAGCCGTGGGCCTGGCCACCCTGGACAGCCTGCTCCCCGCTCCTCCCCCGCAGTGTGGCTGGCTACCCAGAACCACAGCACCCTGGTGACAGAGCGCAGTGCCCTGCCCTTCCTGCCCGTGAACCCCGAGTACTCGGCCACCCGGAACCAGGTAGGCGGCCCGGCGGGGCCCGGGCTCTTCTCCCACCGGGGCCGCCGGCTCCGGGCCTGCCTTCCTCAGCGGCTGTTGTCTGGGCCGGCCTGGGCCTGGGCCTGGGCCTGGGCCTGCTCTCCCCCCCCCCCTGCCCAGGCCTCCCTTGGCCCGGCTGGCACTGCGACTGGGCGTGGGGAAGCAGCTGCTCCTGTGAGCACTTGGGGAGGTGGGCTCCTGCCTCCTCCTGAGAACTCTCCTCGGCACCTGAGTCTGTGCCAGCCTCACCCTGCCCTGGCCAAGTGAGGGGCCGGAGGTTTCCCGGGGTTCAAGCCGACAGCTGATCGCAGCGGCCCTTCCGCTCACAGGGGCGGCAGAAGCTGGCCCGCTTTAACGCCCGGGAGTTTGCCACCTTGATCATCGACATCCTCAGCGAGGCCAAGCGGAGACAGCAGGGCAAGAGCCTGAGCAGCCCCACAGGTGGGGAGGGCGAGGGGCCGGGTGGGCGGGCACTGTCCCAGGACAGCCTCTCGGGGCTCCCTGTCGGGGCTGCGTGGTGAGGCGGGTTGGGTGGCTGAGCCCTGAGTGACAGGCCTGTGCCCGCAGACAACCTCGAGCTGTCTGTGCGGAGCCAGAGCGACCTCGACGACCAGCACGACTACGACAGCGTGGCCTCGGACGAGGACACCGACCAGGAGCCTCTGCGCAGCGCCGGCGCCACGCGGAACAACCGGGCTCGGGTCTGCGCGCAGCCCCCGCCCCCGCCCCTCCCCCATCCGGCCCCGGGACCAGTGGGCCGGTCACAGCGTGGGGAGCAGCTCTCCGTCCGTCCCGCGGCTGACGCTGCTGTCTCCTCCAGAGCATGGACTCCTCAGACCTGTCTGACGGGGCGGTGACGCTGCAGGAGTACCTGGAGCTCAAGAAGGCCCTGGCCACCTCCGAGGCGAAGGTGCAGCAGCTCCTGAAGGTCAACAGCAGCCTGAGCGACGAGCTCCGGAGGCTGCAGAGGGAGGTGAGGGCGGGGCTTCCGGGCGCCGTGGGGGGCGGGGCTGCCTGGACCCTCGGACCCTGACAGCCTGCACCCCCAGATCCACAAGCTGCAGGCGGAGAACCTGCAGATCCGGCAGCCGCCGGGGCCGGGGCCCACGCCGCCCCTCCCCAGCCAGCGGGCAGAACACGCGTCCGCGGGGCCTGGCGGCAGCGCCCACCGCAGGGACCGCCAGGCCTTCTCCATGTACGAGCCGGGCTCGGCCCTGAAGCCCTTCGGGGGCCCGCCCGGGGACGAGCTGGCCCCCCGGCTGCAGCCTTTCCACAGCACGGTGAGTGCCGGCTCAGGGCGGGGAAGCAGGCCGAGCCCCCAGGGGCCTCCGTGACCCTCTGTGCCCACCCCCAGGAGCTGGAGGATGACGCCATCTACTCGGTGCACGTCCCGGCCAGCCTCTACCGGGTAAGAGGGCGGGGCATGGGTCCGCTTCTGAAGCAGGTTCTGAGCCCTGGGTGCCAGGCTTCGTGCCGGAGGCTGGGCCGCAGGGAGGAGAGCCTGACTCCGCTCCTGGGTTTCAGATCCGGAAGGGGGTTTCAGCCTCAGCCGTGCCCTTCACTCCCCCCTCCCCACTGCTGTCCTGCTCCCAGGAAGGAAGCCGCCACGCGGTACGTCTGCTCCGCGGGCCTGAGGGAGCTGGCGGGAGGGGGTGGGGGGAATGTCTCACCTCCCGTCTCCTCCTGCGTCCTCAGAGCAAACTCTCCCGCCACGGCAGCGGCGCCGACAGCGACTACGAAAACACGCAGAGCGGGGACGCCCTGCTCGGGTGAGGCGCCGAGGGAGGCAGGTGGGCCCTGGAGGGGCTGAGGGCCAGGCAGGGGGCCTCGTGTGGAACGGCCCTCTGCCCGCGCCCAGGCTGGAGGGGAAGCGGTTTCTGGAGCTGGGCAAGGAGGAGGACTTCCACCCCGAGCTGAGCCTGGACGGAGAGCTGGACCCCGGGCTGCCCAGCACGGAGGACGTCATCCTGAAGACGGAGCAGGTCACCAAGAACATCCAGGAGTTGTTGCGGGCCGCCCAGGAGTTCAAGCACGACAGGTATGGGGTGGGCGCCCACTCCTCCGGGCTGGGGGCGTCGCAGAGGGCGAGGGGCCGGTGTGCCACTGTCCCTGCAACCTTCCCCAGGGCCCCCTAATGCCTGCCCTCCCCACAGCTTTGTGCCCTGTTCAGAGAAGATCCATTTGGCTGTGACTGAGATGGCCTCTCTCTTCCCAAAGGTAAGGGGCCAGAGGGAGGAGGACGGGGAGGGCCCCGGGGCGGGGGCGGACACCCCAGGCCCGGTCAGTACTCACAGCTGCAAGTCCGAGGCCTCTCTCCCTCTCCCTCTCCCTCCAGAGACCCGCCCTGGAGCCCGTGCGCAGCTCGCTGCGGCTGCTCAACGCCAGCGCCTACCGGCTGCAGAGCGAGTGCCGGAAGACGGTGCCCCCGGAGCCGGGCGCCCCGGTGGACTTCCAGCTGCTCACTCAGCAGGTGATCCAGTGCGCCTACGACATCGCCAAGGCCGCCAAGCAGCTGGTCACCATCACCACCCGGGAGAAGAAGCAGTGACCACTCTCCCGCACCCTCACCCACACCCTGGGACCTCACTGGCCATGGAGAGGGGCCACTCCAGACACTACACCCACCCCGACAGCCGCTGGCGCCAAGTGCCCTTAGTGCTGCCACTCTCCCTGGCAGCCCGGCACCCTGGTGCCCGCCCCCTCCCGCCCCCAGGATGGGGGGGATGGCAGGGGCTCCTGTCCCCCACATTCCAGGCACCTCCCCTGTACATAGCGTCCCCCCCAGCGTGCAGGGGCCGAAAGGCGCCACTCCCAGCCCCATGCCCTCCAGAGCCCCCTCAGCAAAGGGCCTGGTGGGGACACTCCAAGCGGGGCGCTTCCCCTTACATGCATCCCACCCCCATGAGCCAGTTCAGCCCTCTTGGGGCTGAGTGGGGGCACCCCTCCTTTGTACATAACCTCGTGGATGTCCCCATCCTGTAGCCACCAGCCCCCATGCTGCTCTCCTTCCATGCCAAACGGCCCCAACCTGTGCCCGGGGTCCCCAGCAGCAAACACTGGAAAACCTTTTTTCTTTTCTCTCTCCCCACCCTTAATTTTAACATCGTGGTAACTAAGTGTGAGTGCATGGGGCGGCGGTGCCGTTCCAGAGGCCTGGTCCGCTTGGACTTTGTGAGGGTGAGGGGGCCAGAGCAGCAGGGTCAGTGTGGGCGTCAGCCCCCCTCACCCATCCTGGGGCCAGGGACTGCCCATTGCCTCCCTCATCACTCCCACCACTGTACCCCTTCTCTATAAACTTAAACGAAAACCACTCCCCTCCGTCTGCCCTTCCCCTCCCTGTGGAGGGGGGTGTGCTGGCTGGGGCAGAGCACTGAGCACTGAGCCTGGGGCTGGCTCCCTGGGGTCCCTGACTCAGCCGAGAGCCCCCCTATAACCTCTGAGAGGCTAGCACCTGTGCCTGCGGCGTCCGGGCACCTGGAGCCCGGGCTGCAGCTGGGAAGGCTGGAGGCAGATGGCAGCGCCCACCAGCTCTTCTCCCCTCCTGCCTCTGCCCAGGGGCCAGGCTCTACCTGTATGGTGGTGGGTGGGCTGCTGTCAAGCTGTGTATCCTGTACATTTGTATCAAAAATAAATAAGTGACCATGTGCTGTTTCTGATGCTTAGAGAATTGAGGGGAAGGGATGGGGAGGTGGCAAACATGAAAGGGAGAAGGTGAATGTGTCAGGAGTGTGAAGCAAATGAATGCAGCTCCTCACTGAGGGAGGGCAGCCGCCTGCTGTCTGGGAAATCAGGTGCAGCAAGTACTACCACCATCCCCCTTAGTGGTAGGAGGGTTCCCTCCCTCCGAAAACCCTGCCTCACAACCTAAACGGCCTAGGACAGTGTACAAACTCAATACAAGATTCTACCAAAATAATTTAGTTAAAAATACAGAAGAGTTTTGGCAAAGGAGGCTAACAGCTCCTTTTTCTTCCTTAGGCCTCCCTTCCCCACAAACAATACATTGAGAACCAACCCCCTGCAGGTGCTCCGCCAGCCACCAGAGGGCGGCCCCGTGCGGTCCACGTGGCAGAGGTCGGGCCTCGGGAGGAGGGCGGAGCTGCCGCCGCGGCGGGCCGGGCCGGCGGTCAGTCGGAGCTGTCCCCGTCGGGGCCGCTGCCCTGCGTGGCCGGGAGGAGGGGTCTCCGGCGTGAGCGCTTGACCCGCCGCGGCGCCATCAGCAGCCGCCTCTTCAGCACAGCTGGGGGCGGGGGAGGGGAGCCGTCAGGGGCGGGAAGCCCCGGGGCGGGGCCGGGGTGGTGAGGAAGGGAACTCACCGGCCACGGTGTCCTGGCTGTCCGCCACGGGCCCCCAGTAGATGCTCTCCCCGCGCCGGAAGTTGCGGTGCAGCCGCGTGCAGAGGGTGGCCAGGGTGAGCAGCACCAACAGAAAGGTCAGGGCCATGGCGGCCCAGGCAGCTTCCTCCGTGCGCGGGGTGGGGCCCCGGGCCCGCGGCGGGGCCGCTGCTGCCGCCCGCGGGGCTGGGGAAGCCTGGCTCGGACAGGCACAGCCTCCGGGGCTGCTTTGCCCTTTGGGCACCTGGGCCTCCATCCTGGAGCTGGCACTGCCTGGAGGCCCCCCAGGTGGCAGGGGCGCAGTGGGCACAAACGGAGCATCACCCCCTTCACCTGGGGTTCCTAGCTTGGGCTTCCTGGTCTCCACGCTCCATGCGGAGGCAGAGGGGGGCCTCGGGGCTGAGGAGGTAGGCTGGAGGCCCAGGGCAGCCCGCAGCCCACGCCTCTTGGCGCCACCGGGAGAGTGCTGCCCGGGCCCTCTAGACACCGCCTCTGGGCCCGGGGGCCGCCAGCTCCGCAGGGTAAAGGCCAAAGCCGGGGCCTGAGGGAGAAGAGACAGCTCTCATCCTCTCTCCCAGGTAACCCAGCGACCACACCACCAACCACGCTGGGTCCCACGCCGCACCTGCACACACCCTCTGCGGCACAGCCTCCCTCTGCCTGGCCTTGGCGCTGAGGGAGAGGGCCCGGAGAGGAACTGCGCCTTCTTCCTCTGCCTCTTCCACCGCCTCCTCTTCAGCAAGTGGGCAGCCCAGGCTGGCTCCACCCATGCCATCTCCAGCACCACGCCCCATGCTTCCAACTCCAGGGGCTATGAAAGAAGGCAATTGTTAGGAGAGCGAACATGAAGGTGGGGGGGGACAAGAGGAAGCCCCCAAATTTCCCTCCTCCTGCACCCGGGGCAGCCCGCCAGTGTCAGACAGCTGACTTGCACCCACCACGTACCCGGTCCTGAGTGAGGCTGGAGTCAGGAGCCAGTGAGGGCTGGGCCATATGCACGTGGGCCAGGAGGACGAGCTGGAGCTTCAGCCAGGGGTGGGCGCAGGGATGGTAGAGGAAGCGGACAGCCTCCACCTGGAGGAAAGGCATGGAGATGTCAAGCCAGGCCGGCCGGCCCTTCTCTGATAATCCCAAGTTCTCCCATCCTGGGGCCAGGTTAAAGGGACTCCCAGGATGGCAACACGACCCTCCCACCAGGCGGGCTCGGGAAAGGAAGAGGGATCCTGGGTAGTGGCATGCACTCCCTCTCGCCTCTGATCATTCCTCTCACCCCTCCTCCATCAAGTGCCACCCCTCAGAGTTCACAGCTTCCATGACAGTGCGCCTGGTTATCCCAGTCAGACTCCGACCACACTCGTTAGCTGTATTTCTCTGCACCTGCCACGATGGTTCTTCAGGTCCTCAGCCTAGACTGTAAGCACCCCCTCTTTGGAGACCAAGTCTTCGTCTCACTGATCCTGTCTACATAATCAGTCTCCCAAACGCATCCAGAGACAGGGCACACGGGTGCACAATCCCAGAATGGGAACACCTGATCAATTATTAATATTCTTTGATTGAAGGACTTGTATACATGCATATAAGTACCACCAATTGACACAAAACTCTGGGGAGGGAGGGCATGTATGGGAAGGGGGGCAATGATATATGTACAAAGATAATAATTTAATAAAAAAATTAAAATATATATATATATATTCTTTGATTGAGCTAACCTGTGCCAGATGCTGTAGGAGATGCCTAAAGAGAACTCATGGACTCCACTTGCAAGGAATGTAAAGGAAACTCAGGGAAACAGACTAATGCAAATGAAAGAGCAAGCTAATAAAACTCAAACTGGTTAGTTGTTAAATTACAAGACTTAATAGATCCAAGACGGCAGCTTAGGTAAACACACCTAAACTGCTGCAGTGCACAACAAGTTCAAAACGACAACTAAAAGACGAAACGTCGCCGAAACCGGTTTGGCTCAGCGGATAGAGCGTCGGCCTACGGACTGAAAGGTCCCGGGTTCGATTCCGGTCAAAGGCATGTACCTTGGTTGCGGCACATCCCCCGTAGGGGGTGTGCAAGAGGCAGCTGATCGATGTTTCTCTCTATCCCTCTTCCTCTCCGTAAAAAATCAATAAAATATATGTTAAAAAGAAAAAAAAAAAGAACTACTAAGGTTATTTAAAAAAAATAAAAAAAATAAAAGACAAAACGTCTATCAACCAGAACCACGAGAAAGCTGGCTGAGTGGAAGTTATACAACTCGACTGAAAGAGAAAGGAGAATTCAGGGCACAAGCTCTGAAAGACTGAGGGGGGGGAGACGGGTGGCACATGCGATACGGGCTGGCAGCGGATCCCGGCTGGCAGAGGGCATTGCTTTCTTCAACCCAAAAAGAGACAAGTTCCCAATTTCTCTGAAGCTGGGGAGAAGCTGGACTGTCTGCCATCAGGTCGGAAAGTGAGGGAGGGTGGCTTGCTTGCAGAGCTGTGCGCAAGAATTATTGTTTGCTGTGCTGGGGCGTGAGACTCGGGGACACGGTCAGAGAGGAAGATAGCTGACTGGCAGCTGTCACTGTTTGCCACATTCTAGCCTAGTGACACCCTGAGACTCCGCCCCCATGATATACAAACACACTCAAGCTCCAACAGCGGCTTTTGCATATGAATGGCCTTCTCTAGTACAGTTTAACTCAGCAAACTTGCAACCCGGTGCAGACAGCTCCAAAGCCTCCAAGCTCCAAGCAGGGAGGAGAGGACTGTGGTTCTCACTGTAGCTCCTGCAAGGTGGCCTCAGACAGTAGCTGAACGCACCCCATTGGAGATCCAGAAGCCAGTGTATCTAATGGTCAGTGTGAGACACCAGATTTCAACTCCTCACATCCATAAGTGACACTTTTAGGAGGCAGACTCAGTGAGCATCAAAGCCCCATTGAAACAAGGCCTGCACCATAAGTGTGTCTCCAGCACAGCAGTTCTTCCATTATAGACACAGCGGGTCCTCACAGCCAATGGGCCTGGAGGTCAATTCCTCCCAGTGTACCAACAGCAATCAAGGCTTAACTACACCAAGACTTTGCACTCAGCCCACAAAGGGGTGTACCAAGAGCGACCACCTCGGGTGATTGGGGAAGCTGAGCTACTGGCCCCTATAGGTCACCGACCACACAAAGCCACTCCATCAACACAGGGAGGAAGCCAAAATGGGGAGACACAGAAGCATGTCACAAATGGGAGAGATGGAGGAAAGTAAACTACTGGATGACACAGAGTTCAGAATCACATTTATAGGGTTACTCAAGAATCTTCTAAAACTGCTGAGAAACTTGAAGAGACCTTCAAGGGCCTTAATGAGAATATTAAAAAAGAAAAAGAAAAAAAAAGGACCAGTCAGAAATTAAGCAAACACTGTCTGAAATAAAGAATATACAGAAACTCAACTGTAGATCAACGTACCCCAAGAGTCAAACCAAAGATCTGGAATATGAGGAAACAAAAAAACACCCAACCAGAGAGGTAGAAAGAAAGAAGAATCCAAAAGTATAAGGATAATGTAAGGAGCCTCTGGGACGACTTTAAGTGTACCAACATCCAGATTTTTGGGTGCCAGAAAAAGAGAGAGCAGGATATTTGAAGGCCTATTGAAAGAAATAATGACAGAAAACTTTCCTTACCTGGTGAAAGAAATAGTCGAGGAAGCACACAGAACCCCAAACAAGAGGAATCCAAAGAGGACCACACCAAGACACATCATAATTAAAATGCCAAGGGCAAAAGACAAAGAGAGAATCTTGAAAGCAGCAAGAGAAAAACAGTTATACAAGGGAGTACCCATATGACTTTCAGCTGATTTCTCAACAGAAACTATGCAGGCCAGAAGGGAGTGGCAAGAAATATTCAAAGCTATGAACACCAAGAACCTACAACCAAGATTACTCTACCCAGCAAAGCTATCATTCAGAATTGAAGGTCAGATAAAGAGCTTCTCAGACAAGAAAAAAGCTAAAGGAATTCATCACCACCAAATCAGGATTACATGAAATGCTGAAGGGTGTTCTTTAAGAAGAGGAGAAAGAAGAAAAAGGTAAAGGTAAAAACTATGAACAACAAAAAGATATCTAATACCTACCAACAAGTGAATCTAAAAATCAAGTGAATAAAAAATCTGAAGAACAGGATGAACTGGTGAATAGAAACAAGGACACAGAAAGGGAGTGGACTGACAGTTCTCAGGGGGTTTGCGGGGTGTGGGAAGGATTGGACAAAAGTCTTACACCTATGGATGAAGACAGTGGCAGGGGGTAAGGGCATGGAGTAGGATGGGGAATCAGGTGGAGGGGAGCTATGGGGGAGGGGGAGAAAGAGGAACAATAATAATAATCTGAACAATAAAGATTTATTATATAAAAAATAAATAAATTATATGATGTAAGTTATAAGCATTACGCAAATTTAGAGAAGGTGATGAATAAGGGATGATGTAATCAGGCAAGGTCTCATGGGAGAGCTGACCTCTGCACTGGGCTTTGAAGATGGATGCGTATGGATGGTACCTGGGTTTCCCTGAAAATAAGACATCCTCCGAAAATAAGACCTAGCGTATGGAAAGATAAGACATCCCCTGAAAATAAGACCTAGCGCAACTTTGGGAGAAAAAATTAATATAAGACACTGTCTTATTTTTGGGGAAACAGGGTAGGTGGCCAGGGGGCTTCCTACTTCAGCTTCAGGACAGGAGCGAAGGTGCCACCATGGGGATGTGCTGGGCCCTCACACGTGCGGTCGGTGAGCCGCGGATTTGGAGGTCAGACAAGGCTTAATTAACTAGGCCAGGCCTGAAAGCCAGGCAAGGGAGAGCGGTGGTGATAAGGTGGGAAATGAGCCATCCAAGGTTTCTGAATAGCAACATGATCCCGTGAAAGGGATGTGTGAGGAAAGGAATCAGGTAGGTGGAATGAGGGCTCTTGGCCTGGAACTATAACAGGATAAAAAAATTTAAAAAAGTGAGATTTTTCAAAAGGAAAACCAAAGGGATATGGAAGCTATCTGGCCACTGGCAAAAACAGAGGCAGCCATGCAGTGTGGGGCCTGGCACTCTGAGGCACCTCCTTACAGCACAGCTTCGTACTCTGCGCAGTGCGGTCACACACTGTGCATTTACTCTTCTGGGGAGGGCATCACTGATACCCTCTCTTACAGAAAACGGGGGCCCAGAGAAGCGAAGAGAATTCCCGTCACAGCAGATCGGGAGCATGAGCTGTTGTCTTTTCTACTCTCGTCCTGCCCGCACAGCAGCCATCAACTGGCTGCATTCCCTGCCCCGCACACAGAGGACTCAGAACATTTGCCTCATCCCGAGGGAAGTGGGAACACACGGAGGTGCTGAGCTGAAAAGGCAGAGGAAGCCTGCAAGTGCAGACACCTGTGTGGCTCCTGCCAGGACTCACCTGCCGTGGGCTCGTCCGTGTGACAGTCACTCTGGGTGACACCTACAGGTGGGGGAAGAGAGAGAGCTTCAGGCGGCTGGGAGGCTCTGTGTGGGGCGTGGGGAGGGGACACTAAGCCCCGGGCCTCCAGGCTGGGATGAAGACATCAGAGACTGAGGATGGAGGAACCGGCAGAGAGAGGTCCTTCCGAGAGGGACTGTGGAGGCGAAGAGGGGCCGGAGCGGGGCTGGGCCACCCCTCACGCCCTCTCTCACGCCGCCCTCGGGGCTCCTACCTGTTGGGGCAGAGGCCACAGGCCCTCCGGACAGGCGGCTCCCGCCTCCTCCTCCGCCGGCTCAGCCATCACCTGTGGGTCCAGGGCGCAGAGGGGCTGGGGCGCTGGCTCCGCGAGGGCCCTGCCCTCTCCAGCCCAGGCCCCGCCGCCGGGGGCGGACTCAGTCCCCGCTCCGCGCGCTCCGCCCTCCAGGACCAACTTTGGGCCAAGAGCTCGGAGGCTTCTCCGGAGCGGGTCGCCTTACCTCCACGGCGCGCAGGAGCCCCGCCAGGGCGGCCAGGAGGAGCAGCTGGGGCGAAGGCGGAGGAGGCGCCATCCCAGATCCGGCCCGCCGCCCGCCCGGGAAGGAGGGACGGAGGGAGGGAGGGAGCGCGCGCCGCCCCGCCCCTCCTCGCCCGCCCCCGCCCCGCGCGCCCACGTAGACCCCGCGCTCGAGCAGGGCCTCTCAGTCCCCCTCCACCCCCCGCTCCGCGCGCGCCCCGTCCCGCCCCGTCCCGCCCCGGACCGCGCGCCCGGCGCCCCTGCTCACCCGCCCGCCCACCCCGTCCCGCCCCGTCCCGCGCGCCCGGCGCCCCTGCTCACCCGCCCGCCAACCCCGTCCCGCCCCGTCCCGCGCGCCCGCGCCCCTGCTCACCCGCCCGCCCCGTCCCGCCCCGGACCGCGCGCCCGGACACCCTGCTCACCCGCCCCGCCCTCCGCCCCGGACCGCGCGCCCGGCGCCCCTGCTCGCCCGCCCCGCCCCGCCCCGCCCGCGCGCGCGCCGCTCTCCCCGCCTCCGCCCCGCCCCGCGCCCGCCCCCAGCCCCGCCTGCGCGCGCCCGGGACCCCGGGCCGGAAAAGTTTGTGCGCGATCCCGCCGAGCGCAGCGGCCGCAGGGCAGGCGGGGCCCGCCTCCTCCGCTCTGCACCGGCCCAGCGCCCGGCTGCGATCCGGGGAGCGATGGGGAGCGGGCGGAGGGCGGGACGGGTCCCTGTGGACCGGGCGGCCCAGGAGGAGAGACAGGCAAACTGGCTCCAGACCCGTCCGTGTGAACCAGGGCGGGATCACCCAGTCCGAGCGGACGGAGGAAGAGCTTTCCCGCCCTAGAGCCTCGCCGTCAGCCCGTCCCGCTCCTGCCCTCGCCCACAGGGCCCGGGCCGGCCTGGAGGGTCTCAGACCTCCGCCTCCCCCTCCACACACACACCTCCCCCGGGCGCTGGGGAGGCCGGGCCGCCGGCAGCTGCTGCCCCCCACTCCGCCTCCACCTCCGTCCGTGGGCAGCGTGTGCCCCGGGGGCACGGCCACCGTGCGGGGGGCCACGGCCTCGTCCCCGGCGGGCGGCGGTGGCCGGACCTCCCCGCCGCGGGCGCTGCTTCCGCAGGCCTCTCCCCGCCCCTCCGGCCCCCTTTCCCGGCCCCTCGGGGTTTTGAGGAGACGGAACGTGAGTGAAGGTGAAGGGTGAGGTGAGATGCCTGGCCCCAACTTCCAGATGGAGGAGGAAGGTGTTACTTCAGCCATCGCTCACACACCTGCGGCTTACAAAGGGGCTCCTGACTCTTTCCCGTCCCCCCGTCCCCCCGGTTACTGCCAGCCATTGAGGAGATGAAGGGACCCCAGCCTATGCCCTGCCACAGCCCTCACCCCGCACCCGTGTGTCCTTCCTCCAGCTCAGGAGGCAGGGGCTGTTCCTTCTGGGGAAGTTCTTCCTAGGGAGCGGTTTGGTGTTTTAAAAACATATCTTTATTGATTTCGGAGAGGAAGAGAGAGAAACACGATGAGAGAGAATCAGAGAGAATCATTGATCGGTTGCCTCCTGCACGCCCCCTACTGGGGATTGAGCCCGGAACCGGGCACGTGCCCTTGGCCGGAATGGAACCAGGGACCTTCCGTTCGCAGCCGAGGCTCTATCCACTGAGCCGAACCGGCTAGGGCCTGGGGCGCGGTTTTAAAGGTCCATCTGAAGCCAGGCTCCTGGGGGGAGCCTCACGCTCCGCGGGCAGAGGCACCGCGCACCGCTGAGGCCGGACGCGCAGCCCACGACTCTCCGGGCGCCCGCGCACACCGCGCGCCCGGTCCCCGCGGGCCCGGCGCCAGGCCCCGCGGGCGCGGGTGTTGCGCAGCGGCCGGTGCCCACGGGGCCGAGAGAAACTCCAAGGTCAGGGAGCGCGGCCGAGCCCGGGGGAGGCGCGGCGGGTGCCTTCGGCGGCAGCGCCGGGAGCCGGGAGCCGCGGTCCATTCGCTCCTCTTTGCTGCTTCCCAGCAGCGGCCCCCGGGGGCGCGGAGACGCGGGACAGGGACTCCTGCTCACCCCGGTCCCCCAAGCCCTGGCCTCGGAGCCTCCCTACTTCTCCGCCGCCAACACCCCATTCCTCGGCCCGTTGCCCTCCCCGCTCCCTCCCGGCTGGCGGGCGCGTCCCCGTCCCTCTCCGTGGCCTCGATTCCCTTCACCCTCTGCTCCGCTTGTCGCAATCGCTGTACAAAGGGCCGGGGGCGGGCGCGGGGGGCGGACGAGGGGAGCCGGGCCCGAACTGGCTGCCTCTCCGGGGCCGCGGCCAATCCGGAGCGCGCCCCCCCGCGCGGGAGGGCCCTGGGCGCCGCCGCCGCCGCCGGGCGGAGCCGCGGGCAGAGCGGGGAGCCACAGAGGGGACAGCCCGGTCGCCCGCCGCCGCCGCCGCCGCCCGCGGGGCCTCTCCCCCTCGCCATGCCGCCGTGGGGCGCCGCCCTCGCCCTGCTCCTGGCCGCGATCGCCCTGCTCGGCCTGCTGGCCCGCCGGCTGCTGCGGCGCCTAGGGAGGCGCGCCGTCGGAGCCGGGACCCCGCCGGGGACCGGGGTCCGGGACGCCGAGGAGGAGGAGGCGGACGGCGGAGGCCCCGCGGACCGGTTCGGCCCCGGGCGCGAGGCGCTGCCCGGCGGCTGCCGGCTCCTCTGCAAGCCGTCGGCGCTGGCGCAGTGCCTGCTGCGCGCCCTGCGGCGCTCGGCGGCGCTGGAGCCGGGCCCGCGCTCCTGGCTCTCGGGGCCCCACCTGCAGACCCTCCGCCACTTCGTGCTGCCCGCCGGGCCGGGCCCCGAGCTGGCCCGCGAGTACCTGCAGCTGGCGGACAACGGGCTGGTGGCCCTGGACTGGGTGGTGGGACCGTGCGCGCGGGGCCGTCGGGTCACCCACGCGGGGGGCCTCCCCGCGGTGCTGCTGGTGATCCCCAACGCGTGGGGGCGCCTCACGCGCAACGTGCTGGGCCTCTGCCGGCTCGCCCTGGAGCGCGGCTACTACCCCGTCATCTTCCACCGCCGCGGCCACCACGGCTGCCCGCTGGCCAGCCCTCGGCTGCAGCCTTTCGGGGACCCTTCCGACCTCAAGGAGGCGGTCACCTACATCCGCTTCCGACACCCCGCGGCGCCGCTGTTCGCGGTGAGCGAGGGCTCGGGCTCGGCGCTGCTGCTGTCCTACCTGGGCGAGTGCGGCTCCTCCAGCTACGTGACCGGGGCCGCCTGCATCTCCCCGGTGCTGCGCTGCCGCGAGTGGTTTGAGGCCGGCCTGCCCTGGCCCTACGAGCGGGGCTTCCTGCTCCACCAGAAGATCGCCCTCAGCAGGTGTGTAACGGGCCGCAGACAGGGCGGGGGTAACAGGGTCTTGGGCAGAGCGAGTCCCAGCTCTGCCCGGTGTGGACTCGACAGGTCCTGAGTGTGGGCCAAGCCCTCACACACTGCAGCTGCCCAAGCCCTCCAGGCTAGAGAGAGCCGGGAGCCGGGTTAAAAGCCATGGAAGACTCAGTCAGCATCTTTATCCTCCGCAGGGCCTCCCGCCCTGGGCCCCCCGGGCCGCGACACAGCCTCGCCGTGTCCTAGCAACCTGAGCGCGGGCCCCATCCCTGACCCAGGCAGCGCCTGACGTGTACCGCTTAGTCCGCAGCCTGTCAAATCAGCAAAGAGGGCTCTGCAAGCGATTGCAGCTGGCTATCTGTCCACAATGTTCCCTCACAGTCTTTGAGCGTGGCGGTGACGGGAATAAAACAATGTGGAGGTATTTGTTTAAAATCTTTAGACACAACAAATATTTTGCATATTCCTATGTGCTCAATACGTAAGACAAAAATTTAAATATTTAAACACAATTAAAAAAAAAACTCCATAAAGAGAACATTCTACCCTATCATCAGGCAAATAGGTGGGACTTTTCCCCTGAGAAAGTGACATTCCCACAGCACTAACCAGGCCGCGGCTTGCACCATCGCTCCCCTAGGAGAGGCAGAATGAGGTCAGAGACATGTGGATAACAGTGTGCTGGGGCAGAAAGACCCGAGATGTGGGCGCAGGTCACGGGTTCAAACTCTGAATTTCCAGCAAATTAGCGATCTCCTTGGAGCCTCAGTTCTGTCAGTTAAATGGAGTTAATAACAACTCCCTCCCCAGGTGCGCATATGCATGAAATGAGGCCATCGAAGTGAGCTTTGCCTTCTGTTCTGAAATCAAATCCTGAGCTGAGTAACAGCAGGCTGCCATGACAACCCAGAGCTTCCAGAGCAGTCCAGGAGCAAGGTGCTCTCCTGGGGCTTAAGTGCCAGCTTCCACCCCCCACCTTCCCACCCCCACCCCCCAGCACCAGCTGAAGGATAAAATGAGTGAAGTGGAGAGGAAACCCGAGCCTTCAGTAACTAACCTGCTCTTGGAAGTTTGGGATGAAAGACTCAGGGCAAATCTTTGAATGATTCCGGGAGACACACATCCAAATTCAACCGACAACTGCTGGATTGAACCCTCAAAGGTCTCAGCTGCCCATGCCGGCCTCCTCATCGGGGGCCCCAGGCCTTCCCCAGGGAGGTGGCAGCAGCAGAGATGTCCCTCTTCCCCAGAAAAGTTGCTCTCAGGCTCCCATCAATTACAGTCACGCCTCTGCCATCCAGCCCTCTAGGAAAACCTCCTCCACACCCTCCTTACCTGTCATTATTATCTGGGTAGCATATTGGCTTTTAACACACACACACAAAAACCAATACACCCTAAAGTAAAATGCTAATTATAGGGGTGCAACCTGCTGGTTTAGATAGTCCGAGCCAGTGAGTTATCCTAAGAGGGTTCAGGAGGTGGCAGTTCATTACCAGTTCCCACAGAGGGGAGAGCTATTGTCCCTGTAGCTCAGCAGGGATACAGTCAAATGCTGCCCCCCCTCCCCCTGTGCTGGGCAGGCAATGCCACGAGGGACAGATTTGGTAAGAACCTGACACAGGAGGGAGGAAATACCGATTGTTGCCCTCAGGACTGCCAGCCCACCTCGCCAGATCTTCTCATTTGTCTAAAGGAGCCTGACAGCTGCTTTTTATTTATTTTTGTTTTGTTTTTAAAAATATATATTTTATTGATTTTTTTACAGAGAGGAGAGAGAAATAGAGAGCTAGAAACATCGATGAGAGAGAAACATCGACCAGCTGCCTCTTGCACATCCCCTACCGGGGATGTGCCTGCAACCAATGTACATGCCCTAGACCGGAATCGAACCTGGGACCTTTCAGTCCGCAGACCAACACTCTACCACTGAGCCAAACTGGTTTTGGCTGCTTTTTATTTATTATTTAAAATATATTTTACTGATTTCAGAGAGGAAGGGAGGAGAGAGACAGAAACACCAATGATGAGAATCATTGATCGACTGCCTCCTGCACGCCCCACACTGGGGATCCAGCCCACAACCCGGACCTGTGCCCTGACCGGGAATTGAACGGTTACCTCCTGGTTCATAGGTTGATGCTCAACCACTGAACCACATCCACCGGGCTGATAGCTGCATTTCAAATGATGACAATGAAATGGACATTTTTAAAAACATTATATGGCCAAAGAAAGCCTCTGTGGTCAGAATCTGGCTTGTGAGCTTCCAATTTGTTGATTTGCTTTCTAATTCTCCCCTCTCTTTGCTACCTTCCCTGTCCACCTTCTTGCCACCAGGTACATCACGGCCCTGGAGGACACAGTGGACACCCACAAGCTGTTCAAGAGCCGCTCCCTGCGAGAGTTTGAGGAGACCCTCTTCTGCCACACCAAGAGCTTCCCCATCAGCTGGGACGCCTACTGGGACCACAACGACCCCCTCCGGGACGTGGACGAGGCGGCCGTACCGGTGCTGTGTATCCTCAGCGCCGACGACCCCGTGTGTGGGCCCCTAGACCACTTCCTGCCCACCGAACTCTTCCGCAGCAACCCCTACTTCTTCCTCCTGCTCAGCCGCCACGGCGGCCACTGCGGCTTCCTGCGCCAGGACTCCCTGCCCGCGTGGAGCCACGAGGTCATCCTGGAGTCCTTCCGGGCCTTGACGGACTTCTTCCGAACAGAAGAGAGGATGAAAGGGCTGAGCAAGCACCGGGGCTCGTTCCTCGGCGGCCGGCGTCGCTGGGGAACCCTGCAGAAGCGGGAGGCCTCTTCCTCTTCCAGCCTGGATGAGATCTTCAGCTGGAAGCGATCGTACACCAGGTGAGACCCGGTGGCAGAACACGCCATCCTGCGCGGGGAGCAGAGGGCTGAGTGGGGCCAGCAGCTGCAGCAATTTGCCACTGATTCAGCCCTTCCTTCTCTCCCGGTCTGTGGAGAGAGAGAAGCTCGCAGCTAGCTGCTACTTACTTGACCCTGAGCACAGCTCCTGCCCAGGCTCTGCTCAGCACGTTCCCGCTCATCCCGGTCAGCAACTGGACGTTCCTGGTCATTGTCTCTTGTCACCGACCACGAAAGCCAAACACTAGCACCTTTTAAACCCACAGATTCAGAGGAAAACGCTCTCCCGCCAGCAATGACTGCAAGGAGATGAGTTTCTGTGTCGTTGGGCAGCTCTGTCCCACATGAATAATCAGCTTTGTGACCCTGATGCTCACGCTGAAGCCACTTCTGTAGCGAGGACAGGAAGTCTGAGTCTCGGTCCCACTTCCCTCATTTCATTCTGTGGTTGTGGCACCCTGCTCACTTCATGCAGGTTGTGGATGAGGCCTTGAAGAGCCGCTGAGAAAGGTGGCAGAGGCCCCGAGTGCAGTGCTGAGCCGGGGTCAGGAAGAGCCACAAGGGAGAGACTGTGAATGCCAGTCTGGAATACTGAGGCCCGTCTCCTGCAAGTTTCCATGGGGAATGGAGCTGATCTGAGGCTTCAGCCTAGGACCTCAAGGCCCACTGGACAGACCCCAAGGATGATTTTAGGAACAGGAAGTCCTCGAACACAGTCTACTAGACCATGGCTCAAGAAGCCAGACTCTCAGGCACGTTAGCTGCTCCCTCCGGTACCATTTCTGGGGATTGTCACTCCAGAGAGCTCTGGCCAGAGCTGCTTTTCTCTTGGGACGTGGGCTTTCTCTAAGTGGTGAAAAGTATAAACCTCAAATCTTAGGTGTTGTCTGGTTAGCCGCCCTCTTTACTATCAGCCTCTACATCTCCAGAACCTGAAGAAACGTCTGGGACCAGGGAAAACAAAAAGTTCCAAGATGTTGGCTAGAACTGAATCAGTAATTTATAAATATTTCACACTACCATGCTTTTTCTGCTCAATTATTCCAAAGGCCATTCATGTAGATGCAGAGGAAGCTGAGTGGGGTGTTTGTTGTATGAGGAATAATGCTGAAGACCAGTGGTGTGACGTAAGGTATTGTACACAGTGACCCACGTGTCCCGCTTTGGGTTGTTAGACCCTTAAACAATACAGCAGGACATCTGATTCCATGTGCTGCTAAGAGCTTTGTCCTGAAGTTTTATTTAACTTCGTCATTGAGAAAGCGGGCATCTGTTTTGACTGGAAGCTTCATCTTTGCCTCATAAACAGCAAAGCAAGTTTAAAGAGAAGAGATATTTATTGAAGCCATGTCCTAAGACAATGACTTCTGGGGCCATGATTTCAGGTTTGAATAATATTTTCTTAATATATTTTATTGATTTTTTTTTTTTTACAGAGAGGAAGGGAGAGGGATAGAGTTAGAAACATTGATGAGAGAGAAATATCAATCAGCTGCCTCCTGCACCCCCCCACTGGGAATGTGCCCACAGCCAAGGTACATGCCCTTGACCGTAATTGAACCTGGGATCCTTGAGACTGCAGGCCGATGCTCTATCCACTGAGCCAAACCGGTCAGGGCAGGTTTGGATAATCTTAAGCCTTATTCTTCTAGATCAAATAAGAAACTCTGAACTATCCAAGAATCTAAACAACATTCAATTGTCTAAGGCACATTCTCCTGTCATGAAAAAAAAAAAATGCCCTCCCTCCTTTCCCATGTCTTGCTCCTCTGCACACTCATCTAAAGTCTTTCACTGTTTCTGAGCAGGAGGAATAACAAGGAACTGATATCTAAAGAGGCCGTTCACCGCTGATTAACAACCTTGTGAGGCTGGGTGCAGGAGAACGGCTGACATCAGCCCCCTCACCCCCAACATCGGGTACAATTGGAATTTCAGTTAATTAGGGGCCCACAGTCCCATATGAAGTCACTCCAAACTGACTGCAAAATGGGAAGCAGCCCATTGGTTTGAAACAGCCCTGTTTCTGGCTTAAATGGCCTCCAAGGTCTAAATCTGTATTGCCAGGTACCCCAGAACTCTGGTTCTTTAAGATAATAATAGCCTTTTGAGAAGTCATGGTATTTCCCTTTCCTTTTATAGGAAAGTCTGCAGGGAGAAAGAAAAAAAAAAAAAATATATATATATATATATGGAGAGAGAGAGAGAGAGAGAGAGAGAGAGAGAGAGAGAGAGACAGACAGACACTGTCTAAAGCCTTCAGCCCTCAGATAGGCAGGACAGCTCTGGTCCAGGCTCCGTTAATTCCCTGAGACCCACATTCCTAATGACCTAAATCAGCAATTTTCAATTTTTCAATTTTCATCTCACAGCACACATAGACTAATCATTAAAATTCTGCAGCACACCAAAAATATATTTTTGATGAATCAAAAAAAATTGGTATGATTTTGATTGATTTACAAAACTAATAATACTAATTATCTACCCTTTTTGCTCCAAAGTGATTTAAAAAAAAAAAAATCAGGTGCCTATACTTGTATATAAAGATTTCTGGTACCAAGAATTAACCAATCAGATGCAAACTTATTATACAACATGACCAATAAGATGCAACTTTGTTTTATGACCTCTGTACTTACGGTTCAAGACACAACATTCACACCAGACAGCTATTGTTGTGTTGGTTGTTGTCACTTTTTAATTTGACAGCTGAGCCGAAACTGGTTTGGCTCAGTGGATAGAGCATCGGCCTGCGGACTGAAAGGTCCCAGGTTCGATTCCGATTAAGGGCATGTACATTGGTTGCGGGCACATCTCCAGTAGGGGTTGTGCAGGAGGCAGCTGATCGATGTCTCTCTCTCATCGATGTTTCTAACTCTCTATTCCTTTACCTTCCTCTCTGTAAAAAATCAATACAAAAATATTTTGTTTAAATTAAAAATAATTTGACAGCTGAAGGGAATAGAGGTCAGTGCCTCTGACTAAAGAGGAGGGTATTGCACATTTTAGAAATTTCTTGCGGCACAGAGGTTAAAAAATCACTGACCTAAACCCTGAAGTATTTCTCCATTCCCTTGTGCTAGATGTGCTCATAGCCTATCTCAGGAAGCTGCTTATCTCTCCTCTGCAGCTTGCCGACATCACTGCTTTTCAGCTCACTTTTGCCAAGAAAGTATAGTTCCTGTTCAAACAGGTTTGGGTGACCTTGTCCTTCAGTCTCATGATAAAGGAATCACCCAAATGGCTCTGCTTTGGTTAATGGCTAATTATATGAAACCAGCTTGAGGAACCCCAGACACATTATTTTGACAGAATGTGTGGCCCTTGAACAAAATGACAACTTATGAGTTTGAGAAAGCAAGAAACAAACATAACAATACAAAACCCAAAGGACTGCCGAGTTGAAGCTTTCCAGGTAGCAAGGCTTTAGCAATCCTCTCAGGCCTCATTCAATTGCTTGACACCCTTCTGGTCTTTTCTTTATTTTTGAACACCTTCAAATGATAAGAAAGCCCTAACTGGTTTGGCTCAGTGGATAGAGCCTCGGCCTGCGGACTGAAGGGACCAGGTCCGATTCAAGGGCCTGTACCTTGATTGCGGGCACATCCCCAGTAGGGAGTGTGCAGGAGGCAGTTGATGGATGTTTCTCTCTCATCGATGTTTCTGACTTTCTATCCCTCTCCCTTCCTCCTGTAAAAAATCAATAAAATATATTTAAAAACACAAATGATAAGAAAGAAGACCCCACTGATTTAAATGAGGCATTATCTCAGAAGTAGAGATGGAATCCTCTGTCTCTGCTCATTGTATCAAGATGCAGGAAGCAGACAACTGCCTCTGAAGGTTTGAGTTCTACTAAGTTCTGACCTGATACCGAAGACTGCTAAACTATAATTTAACTCTCTTCAAGACTTAGTGTTTATTTTATGTATTTATGCACAGGCTTCTGGGGTGGCTTGGCTGGAGTCAAAGGTATAAAAAACAAAGCACAAAAACGTCATTCTGAGAAGACATCATTTCTGTTTTGAATGAAGATATCCTTTCTAAGACTTGAGGCTTGAGTATTGTTAGAAAAGAGGTCATGAGACAGGAAGTGTTATCTTGCCTTTATATATAAAACCTCAAACCACCCGGACACAGCAGCTCCTCGGTCCTCACCTTCCGTGCAGACCACAAGATCCTTTGTGTCAGTTGCTCTTAGTAATGCCAAGCTCTTTCTTTACAAATGAACTTTAGCATGAATTCCTCTCCTTGCTTAAACAAGCAGGCACACTTGGCCACTTTGGCAGTTCTGACCGGATACAATGCCAATAAAAGTATTTTTGTGAACCGTCAGCCAAACCACAAAGGATGGCATCAGAAATGGTACTCACTAGTTACCACGGTTGGTAGAGATGAGATGAGTTGTATCTGGAGAACATCCGAATGCCCGGATATGGGATGTATGCCTCAGGAAGCAGTAAGTTCCACATCAGGTGTGGGATAAACAAACTAGACTGCCACTTGGCATGCATTATAGAGGGGACATGTGCCAAGAAATAAGGTGGCCTAAGTTACATATAAGCTGTCTTCTCATTTGAGAGTTGGTGAGTTAAAATAGTGCTCAGAGTGGGTTGTAAAGAGTTCTGGTTGAATTTTGGGTCTGAGGATCATGAGATCACAGACCTAGGAGTTGGGAAATGACAAAGACCTTAATAAAAATAACCCTGCCAAAGTGACCAGAGGATGTTAAGATACCCAATAATTATGCTCTAAAGTGTTCAGGAAGAGCAATAACTTGAAGAAAAAGTGGAACTTCATTAAACCAATAAAAGACACAAACACAAAACATGTAATAAGGAAATACCTTATTGTAGGGTTCATCACTAGTATGGTTGAACAAAAATCTCTCCATCTTGTTTGCTTCTGAATAGTAAATAAACTGCAGTCTCCCTGCAACAATGGAATGTCATTATTTTTTAAATCTCCAGAAACAAACGTGGTTTATCTCTTTAAGTCCTCTGTGTACTGAGCATGCTTACCTACCTGTGGAGCTAACATTCTCTTTTCACTGGTTGTTGCTTCACTTCTGTAGATCTAGCCTTGTGTCCCCTAACGCTAACCGGTGGCAGCTCTGTTTAATCAACAACCAGGCCTCCTGTTCTGAGCTAATAATTTCCCAGCAGGCTCAAAATTCCCTGATCATCAAAGGTACCTACGTAGAGAGATTTTCCAGTGGACAATTAGCAATTTGTGTATTGATGAGAAAGGAAGGAGTTTGGAGATGTGGGTTCCAGTTTGTACTTCATCACCAGTGACTCCTATGTCCTTGGGAACGTTACTTTGAGTTGTTCTGTATGAAAAGACAGAGACCGAATAGGCCTTAATTTAGGAGGTCTTTAGGATGAGATAGTAGAAACAGGTAGATCCCATTCTCCACGTCTATTTAACTCAATGGAGCTCAAAGACCTCTCTGATGAGGTGGCATTTGCTTTCAGATTGGAATTATCTAATTCTTATAAGGCCAAGAAGTTCATTATTAATTCCACTGCAAGGTTGGAAAGAGCCTGGGAGAGCAGCACACTTTGAGGCTCACAGTCCAGCTCCTGGTTTGCCCAACTGAAGCCAAAATCTGCAATTCCAAACACCTGCATGCACTCTGATAATCATGTTATGGTGGCTAATAGTTTTCACACTACATTTGTTCCAGGCAAGCATCATCTGTTTTCCTATTTTTCATAGATGAAGTTTCAGAGATGATGTGACTTTCAAGATCTCACAATTAGTATGGTGGGGATAAAGACAGAAGCCAAACCACTGCTCTTTATGTCATACTTATTTGCCTTTTTAAAAAAAATATATATATTTTATTGATTTATTTATTTTACAGAGAGGAAGAGGGATAGAAACATCTATCAGCTGCCTCTTGCACACCCCCTACTGGGGATGTGCCTGCAACCATGGTACATGCCCTTGACCGGAATCGAACCTGGGACCCTTCAGTCCGCAGGCTGACGCTCTATCCATTGAGCCAAACCGGTTTCGGCTATTTGCCTTTTCTTAATCACTGGCTGAGATGACAGTAATTAATGCTAATTTTATTCTTCATAATATAAAGGATAACAAAAGGGAAAAGGATAGCTGCTGGAGTGTACAATTCCATGGGAGAGCTATATACATTATAAATGACAGGCCGAAATTGTATAGTTGCATACCCTTAGCAATTCTGTCTCCCTCTATCCATTAAGAACAAGTATTTGGCCCAGTCAGCCTGGCTCAGTGGTTGAGTGTCCACCTATAAAACAGTCACGGTTTGATTCCTGGTCAGGGCACATGCCCAGACTGCAGGCTCAATCCTCAGTGTGAGGTGTGCAGGAGGCAGCCAATCAATGATTCTCTCTCATCATTGATTTTTCTCTCTCTCTTCCTCTCTGAAATAAAAATATAAAAAAACCACACACACAAGTATCTGAAAATATAGTAGCAATTAAAGTCACAAATTGCCGACGACGTGTAGAGAACCCTGGCTCTGCAGCTGGCATCACTGAGATGCAGGTGACAGCACTGGCTTATAACCACTGGGGCTGTGGAGCTAAGCTGACCACGGTAGTAACTTTGTGTTCACATTTCTTCTAGTCCAGTAGGATAGGCTCTAAACCCTGAGCATAACTCAGAACATCTTTGGTGTGTTTAGCCAATGACATTTGTTTTGTGTTGTTGACACAGGATCCATACAAGCTAGAAGCAGATGTTTTCTAATGCTCTCCTTCCACTGAAGAGCCCAATTGGGGTGGGGTTGGGGGGGTGGTGGTTAAGCAGAAAGAAATCTTGTTTTGTAAATCTTTTTTGAATTAATCCAAATTCAAGATGGGATGCTGGAAATGCTGAAGATAGGCCTGGGAACTAATCTTGGCTCTGCCACATAGTTGTTTGACCTAGGCAAACGAAACACTAAATAAATGTTATTCTCAAAATAGCTCAATATCAACATTCTGGGAGTTAAGAAACTATACTAAGCCTGGTGGTGTGGATCAATGGTTGAGCATCTACCCATGAACCAGGAAGTCACAGTTCTATTCCCAGTTAGGGCATTTGCCCAGATTTCGGGCTCAATGCCCAGTAGTAGTGTGTGGGGCAACTGATCAGTGTTTCTCTAATCTATGTTTCTCTCCCCTTTCT